CCGGGGGGGGGGGGGGGGGGGGGGTGAAAGTTACTTCGCTTGAAAAATTCAACGTTTCTGAACAGGGAAAGGTGTAGAATAGTACTTCATATCATACATGTATAGCATACGTTAAAACTATGATTGTTAATAACTTTTTAACGAAGGACGAGCGATAGCTAAAACCTGTTGAGGGTTACTCAGGGTCATGACCTTAACAACATATGTCAAGGTCAAAGTCATTGGAGGGGGGTCTCCTCATCGACACATTTACCAATTTTTAATTTAATTGAAAATATGTCAATAAAGAGGAATTAGAGGATTGCAAAAGAGAAAGCACACAGATAATTATATAAAAGAGATGCAGTTATTAAATCAAATAATTCCGGAATTATATTTATTACAACAGATTTTATACCTTGGCTGTAAAACCTTCGAAATGTCTCGAACTGTCAGCATTAAAGTTAACGACCATGGAATTAGATTCGGATTTAAATGTTGGTAAATTACCAGTCAAGTTACCGCAAATTAGAGCAGTTCGTTTGTTTGGATTAACAAAATCACCTTCGTAAACAGCGACGTTATCAAAATAACAACTGCAAATTGATGATAAAAGATTAATAAAATTTTTAATAGAAATTTGCTGACATAGATTTGTGAAAAGCTTACTTTGTGCTGAACTCTAGAATGAACTTCTCGAAGCGCACAAGTACACTCTTGTCTTGCGGTGCTTTAATGACCCAAGTGCAATTCATACCTCCAAAGTATTCTTCTCCATGCATCAAAGGCTTAAGCTCGGTGGGCTTTGTGATAATACCACCACATCCTGTTAGTTGTAACGGTTTTATTATATTTCTTCATTTCTTTCTAATTATGTCTTACAGTTTTTTTTATTATATCAAATGTTATTTTTAATGTATTATTTTTACTGTTTCGAACAATTAGATTGTTTATATTTTAATTTTCGTAGTTGTCATTAATAAACATATAAGAAACATCAGATAAGAGAGATACTTACTATTGAGGAAATATTTAAACTGGAAACCGTTCCGCTGCATATATTTGTCCGTCATGAAGACAATCTCTATTCGTGAAATGGATCTTAAAAGTGGTGGTTTGCTGTTACCGCAATAACTTTCTACCTCCTCTACCATATACATATTGTTCGATGTGATAGTAACATTGTCATAACGACAATCTCCACGAGCTGTTAAAAGTAATTCTTGTTAATTTTGTAATTTTCATTATATTTTTTAATTTAAAGCTTTAGAGATAATAAATTTTTCCTATTACCGTGCGCAAAGTTCGAACTTTGCGCAACTTAATAGGAAAAATAGTATACGATACTCGTGCGCTGCGTAGGTGTACCCACACTCGCTCTTTTGTCAAACTCGGCTCGTGCGGGAATCACCTACTTTGCGCACTTGTATCGTAATGTACTATTATTTATGTCGCAAATATACCATATTGTCGTAGTTTCATGGAAAAATCTGACATTATATTATGCTTGCAGAGTGTACACAATGAAAAAATCTCCGGCATTTTAATATTATCTTAAAAATTATGTAATGTATAGATACAACAATTTTTCTGTTTGTTTCATACACGCTCAAGTTAATATTTGGATCAGACGAAGGAGTTCCATTCTCTGGCTACTGTTCCCCTGATATTCTCCCTTTAAATTCCTTCTTTTAAAGGTATATCAAAGACATAGTTTTCTCCACCAAAGTGTCAAACGTGAATGTCTTATGCAACCGAATTGTGGCCACTATTGGCACAATGACTATAACGACATACTGCAGCGCACCTGGCGTGAAGTAAAATACTTGATATCCTTTGTGCCACTAAAGACGCTCATGTGTGAGTTTGGTAACACGTGAGAGTTTGACAACTTTTTGTGAAAAACTTTTTTAGTTGTTTGTTACAATAAAAAAGTATAAGTATATATATGTGTTTATTTTTATTTCTTATCATTTAAAAATAACGGAAGTTTATTGTGTACGCTCTGTATATACAATATATAGAGGATATTAATACTTTTAAAGCTTTCATGGAGATATAATATTATATTTATAAAAGGATATTATAATATTTCACAAAATCTGAAGACATAAGGATGACTATTAAAACTTACCGCGTTCGAGCTGGAAATCAGTAAACTCGACGACAATGTCATCATTTGGCGCAACGATGGTGTAATTACAGAAAATGTTAGGCGGATAGAAATTTGGATACAATGGCGATTGAATGATATTAACTTTTTCGGTTGCTTCAAAAACACCGCCACAATTCTCGCTCCAGACGGCATGAAAACCGTCTGATTGTACTGCCTCGTTTGAACGGAAAATCACTTTCATGTGATTCGATGTCGAGTTAAAGGGCGCAGGTGTATTTCTGCCGCAAACTTTTCCGAGAGTCTTCCATTCACCGTTGTTATAACTTCCTTCTTCTCCGATCCAATCAAATATCTGTAGCGTTATTATTATTATTATTATTATTATTATTATTTCTTTAATTTACAACATTCTCTATATTTACATTTTTCATGTCATTGTGAAAATGTTATTGTAGCGAATGAAATAAATTGCAAAGTGACTAATTGTAAGAGAATTAATTTAAATAGGTATTTAACGTTTATCATACGTATAATAATAATAATCGAACCTCCACATAATCTTTTTCGCAATTAGAACTAGTTTCCAGACTAAACCGATCGACGAAAGTTAAACCTATGTGATAACCATTTTCACCTATTATTTCCCACGTACATTCGCCGTTGTTTGGATATTGTTTGGGAAATCTGAAATTGTGGAAATATTATTAAATAATCTTTTTTTAAAATCATATTGTCGCGATATCTTAAAAAAACGTTAATTACTCCGGAGATGCGATTTCGCGACTGTGACCACGTAAAGCTCCACCGCAACCTGTACTGGCAACCATTACATCAAACTCGAAGCTGCCTGAACCCTCAGATGCAAAATATTCTATCCATAGCTGATTCGATATACTGTTAATGTTATATTTTTGAAGTTCGTTTGTGGTATGAAGGCAGTACTTTGCGATTTGCGGTGCCGTCGTTTCTCCGCCGTTCCTATTTATAAATCGTAAATGTGTAGATTAAATCAAAGATTATTTGACATATGTATAATACAAAATATCTTCAGTAACCGAAAAATAACCAAAAAAAAACCAGTCAAAGGCTTGGTTCTTAATAATATTTTTGTGTAGATTTTAAAATTTTCAGTTTAAGCAAAAATAACTTACTTGATAATAAGATAATTCTTATTACAGTTACTTTCAAGCTGAAGTTTTTTGAAAGAAAGTTTAATTGTTTCTCCTTCAGAAAAATCTACGTGCCAAACGCAATTTATTGGATAGGAAATATTTGTTGGTGATCTAATGGTGTGTCCTGATTCTCGCAAAACACCACCACAAGGTTGCCATTGATATTGTAAATTGAAATCCATACGTTTTTCAAAAGTACCATTCATTATCTAAAAGTTAAAATAATAAGATTATTTTTTACATTTAATATAGTGAATGTAAATAACTTTAATTTACATAGAAATTCTTTAAACTATTTATTTGTATGTATATATAAATGATAAAATAAATATTAAAAACATATTACCATCAATTCGTTTATTAATTTTGGACTTCTCAAATATCTTGGTTCTGTTATATTCCCACAAATCCTTCCAACACCTATACGCAAAATTGAACATTAATATCTTGTTTATCCACTATTTATAATATCGATATTAATTGACTTTTATGTATTGTCTATGATTTTTAATAATTTTTTTTATAATAATTTGTTCAATGAGCAAGAATAATAAATTATGTTAGTGTTTTTCATTTTACCCTGAACTTCAATATATTGAGGATAAATGCAGCTTCTTCTAATAATTTGAGAATGCTCAGGTCTGCCCAAAATACCGGTGACTTTTATTGTCAATGTCAAGCTACTATCCCCAACGGAACTGATCATATTTTCGGGTGGTTCCAATTTCCAGTTGCAAACATATGGAGATTGATTAAAAGGTGGACTTGTAGGACCTGTTAGATTGCCTTGAATTGCTCTCAGATTTCCACCACAAGCTACGATAAAAATTTGTTAAAATTTTTTTATTATACGTTTTGTATATGTATGGCCATATACAAGTTAAATATAATTTAAAAATGTATTTAAATTACATTGTGTAAAGTACACGATAGATATAGATAAATGACCATAGTAGCTTTTAAAACTTACGAGCCGGAGCCTCAGCCCTATACCGAAGTTTGAAACCTCGATGCCCGGGGGAGCACCAATAGCTGATAATCATAGTATTACTGGAACTTCTTATTTCCTCTATATTCGTTCCCCCTTGTCCTAAGACCTTAATCCTCGATTTAAAGCGCAAATCGTTATAAAACTACAAAAAGGAGAATTTTATTATGTATATTTTTTTGGTGGAATAAATATAGTTTATATCTTATTGATATGGTGCATTACTTACCGTAAGTGCATATCCCACGTGTGACGGTCTAGGATCGTTACCAACGTCTATATCCATAATATTTGCCACAACTTGGTAACCCATCGGTAATGTAATTCGCCAATCGCAATACCTACGATGTCATTAATTCGTACAACTATCGCACCAATTTTAAATATATTACTAATATATTTTTTTTTGTAAAACACATAAATATTTAATAAATAAAATATTCTATTAATTATTTAAAAGTTTTGTTTAAAAAAAATTACCTTGGTTTTGTGCGTGGATTAGGATATCCAGGTGATTTAATTATTCCACTTAGTGCGGTTATTAAACCACCGCATGCTATACAAATAAATAATAAATAATTAAAATATTTCTTAGTATATAATTTAAAATTTTATAAACAAGGTGTAAATTAAAATTTATAATGAGCGATAAGACATGCTTAAATATATAGTTTAATAATATATACAGTTTTGCTTTACTAACTTTCTTCGCTGGCAGTGAAGTTTAGATTGAAGCCTTTATAATTAACAAATGATATGTTATTGCTCTGGAAGTGCACATACACTTCGTTTGACGATGTTTCGATTACATCTGGTTTCTGAATACCGCAATAAGTACCAATTATTGAAACTGTAGAATAATATTTTTATATTTAGTTATGTCGTATAATGGAAACGCTTAGATCTAAATCTAATCAACCGTTGCCAATCATTTTACTTACTTGTATTATTTTCTACAAGCTTTTCTCCAATTTTAACATTATCAGTCAAAGGGCATGAACGTAAGCCAGGAAGCTGCATATCGCGAAATTCTAATTTTAAGTTATGATCCGTCGGAGCTACTATCAACCATGTGCAGTTTAGGTTTGTAGGATATGAATGCGGATAATTCGGCGATTTAATAGTGCCTTTGGTAGCACGCAATATTCCGCCACAAACCTCTATACAAATACGTATACTTTATTAATTGTTTCTATTCTTAATATAAAATTATTATGATTATTATATAACATAAATATCTACTCTTATCTATTTAATAAATGTCAATTATTTATATAAGGAGTTTTAATATTAAAATAAAGTAATATTTATTTTACCTACCTCCTAAAGTAATTACAGCTTTGAAACCATTCTTAGGTTCTGGTACATCCGTAAAGAAATGGACGTACATCATGTTGCCATTAGTACTCATACTACTAGGTGCTACGTCTTTACAAAATCTTCCCATAAGTTGAGAGCCATCAGTTCCACCGTCCCTTACTTCAACGTATTCTCTTTCGCAACTGAAAAGAAATTGTTATGGTAGAAATAATATTTTAGTAAATTAAAGTATATTTTTTCCTTAAATTTGTTTTATTTTATTGCAATGATCGTATCTTACTTATCAGAACGACTTAAATCAAATCTATCTAAGAAATGGATAGTCAGCCTTTCACCAGCTGTCGCAATAGCTGTCCAAACACATTCGCTATAAGTTGGAGGGATATTTGGATAGTTGGGCGATGTTATCTCCCATTTCTTCTGTTTGTTTGTTAAAATAAATTCGCCACCACAGCTCATGCTTACTTCTCTAAAATATAGAAAGTAAATTGTGAAATGTTTTATTAAGTTAAAAAAATATCAATTTAAAAAAAATTGCATTATCCAAAAATCACCTGTAAGTGAGCTTAAAGCCAAAATTACGACCAATACCTCTAGCTTTAACATACAAACGATTTCCGGTGGTTTCTAATTCTGCTGGCGTCACTTCACCACAGTACTTTCCGACGCCTAACAAAGGCGAGAGCACTCCTTCTCCATTTTTTAACTAAAATTATTTATTTAAAAAAAAGATAATTTATATACATATATACAGAGTGTCACGTAGTGACTTTGCTAGTAGGTCATTCCCACTCCCCATGAACCGCGCACCAAGCGATCGGTGAGCCAAGCGAACGTGCTTTATTCACCTATAGATATCTAAAAATTTATAACTTGTTAACCATTGCGAAAATTGCAAAGTAGTAAAAGACCTTTCGACACAGTTTAGTTCGCTCTATCTACATAAAAGCGATGGAAAAAAAACTTACATGACATCCTGCATAATATATATTAATTATCTTTTTTAATTTCAAATTTTCTCTTCCTTTTTGTAATTATTTCTTTTACTTATATTGCGTTGAATTTAAAGGTCTAAAGTCTAATAATAGAATGTACTAACCAACAAATAATTATCACCGCATGTATAATCAGGCTGTATTGATATTTTGTTAATCTGAACTTTGATAGTTCTGCCGGGTTTCACTGTCACAGTCCACTCACAGGTAAATTGCCATGTGCGAATCGCTCTTGAAAGAAAAGAAGAATTGTCAAATTCGATTACGCCGTTGGGTCCATTTAATTGACCTCCACAATCTATAAACATCAATGCGAACGTTTACGTATATTTGTAATCAAAGTTTAATTCTATTAATAGATCAATAGAATATCTACAACCTCGATATACATATGCGTTGAAGCCAGTTTTATTGTCGAATGCGTCTGTGTCAAATTTCACCGTCATTACATTGCTCCCATTGATCAAAGACGCGCTGGAGTTCGCCAAGCATAATTTACTTTCCAAATGAGCACCAATTGTCGATGTCAATGCATTTCCCGAATAAACAGAAACCGAATCCGCCTCGCAATTGCTAGTTTCTTCCAAATCCATAGTCATGATTCTCAATACCAAATGTGTTCCAGGTGGCGATGTGAAGACCCAATTGCAATGCAAATTGGCAGCATAACCAATCGGCCAACCAGGAGAACTGAAGGAATACGTGCTAGTGTTGTTACCAATTAGAGCTATTTCCTTGTTGCATTTCGACACTGCAGGCAAATAAAATAAATTTTAATTAGATGTATGTGCATAATATGTGTGTGTGTGTGTGTGTGTGTGTACATACATATATGTATATTTAACATTGGCATAATTTACAGATTTAATTTGAAATACAATAATGTTTAAATTAATTTTTGTATTAATATTGAGTTAATCGTGAAAAAATTGCATTATTTCAATATATTTTTTATAATAACAAAATATTAAGTATATAAAAGTTTAAGCTCACGTCCAATCTCCTTGTTAGTTCCCTGTTCGGAACTATTTCTCAATGTTTGAAGCCATGTGAGATCAAACCAATGTCCTTGTCTGACAAAATCCGACGTCATCGTGATATAAATTACATTACTGGATGAATCTATTGGTTCTGGCAAAGTGTAGCCGCATATTTCAGATAGAAGTGGTGCTTCATTATCATATCCATCATATATCTGATTAAAAATGAAAACTGGTTAATAATTAAAATGGCGCATATTTTGTTAACTGCAAAGACCGATATTAAGCATATATATTTAATATTAATTTAACGTTTAAACAGTATACATATAACAGTATATACTATTGATATATTGTTAAATATATACATAATGTAGTCATATATATTAAATATATTATAATATACTATATTTATCCTCAAAATGTCTTTTTTACAATTTGTATAACATCCTCGATACAGATACTTACATTAATATGAGAGAAACAAAATTGGCCAATGTTTTCTATATGTAAATCTGTGAATGTGAGGCGTACAAGCCAATCCATTTCAACAGTAATGCGCCATGAGAACGCAGCAGGTTGTCTATACGGTAGCGGATACAACGGCGAAGTAATGCGTCCTGTAGGTCCTTCCAATTCGTTCCCTCCGATGATATTATATTCAGCCTTAAAACCCTTAGCAGTGCCTGAATCATCGCTTTTAAACTTGATCCACAATTTGCTGGAAGACGTAATTTCCGCGGCATCCTTGCCACAAGAAACGCTAATGAGCTTTCCTATTCCACTGTTTTCTCTTACCTCGACATAGTCCAAATCGCAATTTTCGCTCGACTCGACATCAAACTCGGAGAACATGAGAGTAATCCTATTACCGGGAGACGTATTCAGAACCCAAACGCATTCTGCGTTTAGAGGATAACTATTTGGATAACTAGGCGAGGTAATTATTCCTTGTTGGGATGTGTAGTTTCCGCCGCAAGCTGAAAAGTATAGATAGAATTAAAGATATCTTAACCATAAATGTACACTTTTTATACATTTTAATCCAGTGTACCTGTGTTCAGGACGGAGTACATAGCGACAAAGTGACCTATGAACTCGTAGAAAACAGTTAAATGCAGTGTGAGTGAACTTCCGGTACTCGTAATCGGCGGTGGTGCGACGTTTTTGCACCATTTTCCTAGAGATGGTCCATCTGTACTCTCACCCTCAAACACCTGAAGGGAGAGCCAAAAACAAGGACCCGACGCGAGATGTCCTGAGTCCCATCGAGTCATAATATCAGTTGGATCAATCTCCATATGCGTAAAAGTAATAGTTACATGATCGCCTACAATAAAGAATAGAACACAAAAAAATAAACCATTGTTAAAAAGAAATTAACAAATAAATGTAAATATCTATGGACGAAATGTGAATTAAAACAAAGTTGAATTATACCTGGATTTTCAGCTATCAATGTCCATGTACAATTAGTGTTCTCATCATGTATATCGCTATTACCCGTCGAGGGTGTGAGAAAACCATGATCCTTCACAATTATACGAGCACCGCAGGCTCTTCTATATTGAGCTTTGAAACCTTTGGCTGAAATAATGCTATCGCTCTGCATAACTACTAACATTTGATTACTACTCGAAACGTAGACCGGTGGTAACTGATTGCCGCAATGAGTTCCCAATAATGGATCATCTTTCGTTGAACCATCAAAAATCTACGAAAATACAAAATGAGACTCTTTTAACATATATTATTAGAATTAATTAAAAAATTACTTAAAATTGTATTTTTACCAGAGTAATTTAATTTAAAAATTCAACAATATAATATAGGCTCAAAAGATTAAATCGAAATAAATATAAATTAATGCCAATGTGAGCCAACACTAATTGTTTGTGTGAATTATAGGTAACACCTAAGATAATGCTAAAAACCAGCGATACTACAACTTTCAAGCATTATAATTCGGAAAGTACTTCATGAAAAAATATTTTATTATAGTGTTTTGGAAAGTTGTCGAGGTGTGCTACAAGAATATGCAATGAAAAATAGAGTTCTATTTAAAAAAATTGATGTGACCTGACCTTGGCGATGCCACCCAAAATCAAACGAATGTGATCAGTAAATAGATCTTTTTGAACTTTACAACTTTTGTCTGAAACACTTTTCTGTAATACTTATACTTTCTATGATATTCACGTGTCCCGGCACTTTCTGAACACCTTGTAATAGCATACCTTAACGAAATCATCACTGCAATTTCTACTGTTCTCAACATCAAAGTCCAAAAACGTGAGATTCACTAGATGGTTGTTGTCGACTTCTAATAGCCATTCGCAATTTACAACATGCGGATAATTCTGCGGATAATTGGCCGAATGAATGATGCCTGAGGTTGCTGTAAATTTACCACCACATTCAATAGGAACAGTCTTATAACTAGCATTAAATCCTCGACTAGCGTATGATGAGTCCGAGTGAAACTTGACAAACATTTTATTTCCGTGACTAGTATATATTACTGGCGTCTCCGAATAACAAAGCTCGGTTAGTTTTGGCGCATCTACATCTTGACCCTCATAGATTTGGACTTTGTCAAAGAAACAGCCTTTGCGTTTCTCAGTATTAATCTGAAAGACAAAAATTTCCATTTTTACATTACAGTATACACATTATAGCACCCTTTCACTATTAATTTCCGTATAACCTTAGCAAATATAATTTTTGAAAATACTTTTTTAAATTATACTTACTTCATAAAATGTAAGCTCGATGCTGTGCATGTAATCCACTTCGATTAACCATTCGCAGTCAACATTCATCGGATAAGCTACAGGATATCCAGGCGACGTAAAACTATCATACGGTTTAATCAAATGCCCTCCGCAACCATGCACCGTCCATTCAAGCCGGAAACCATTGTAAGCCATAAAGGAGTCCGTAACAAATGTTATAAACACTTGATGTTGTATTGAATTAATTTTCATTGGAAGATCGATATTCCCACAAAATAGACCCAGCATGTTGTTGGGAGTGTCATCATCGCCTTCCATGATTTGGAGATAGTCATATATGCACTGCGATTGTTCCATCCTTCCTTCGAGATCAAAGTGCGAGAAAGTCAAATTAATCATGTTACCAATTGGAGCCTCAATAATCCAACTGCAGTTTGTCGAATGCTCATATTTATTGGGGAAATTCGGTGATTCTATCACACCAGAGTAACCACGTAATTTGTTTATGCACTCTGCATCACAAAAATAACAATTTAACAATAAAATAATTTTATATATATCCATATACACTCACAGAATAAGTAATTAAAATTAAAAAATAAACATTAATTTAAAAATTCTTGCAAAGTATGGCTAAAATATTTCAAATTTGAAAGAAAATAGAATAATATTATATAAATCTGAATTAAAATAATACGTACGCGTTTCGTATTTTAGATGGAAACCGCGACCGGCATTGCTGTAGTCGCTACGGAACCGAATGGTTATTTGATTGGATTTGGATTGAATAAGCTTCGGATACGTGATGTCGCAATAACGTCTTCCATTTGTGAGATGACTAATGCCTTCATATATTTCGATAAAGTCATATCGGCATTTCTCGTGCTGTTCAAGATCGAGGTCCACTATTACAATCCTCACTAAACTACCTGCTGCCACAGCGATCTTCCAATAGCAATCCGCGTTCGCTGCATAAGGTTCAGGATAATTTGGAGATATAATATCTCCAGTCACTGCAGTCAATGAGTTACCACATCCTGAAGTTAAATACGTAAATATAAAAATTAAGAAAAAATAGAAAACGTGATTAGGATTTCCTGTATGTTTTTTTCTACCTTGAGTGCTGCTATCCCATTGAATTTCAAAACCTTGCATTGATCTTGAGAAATCAGAAACAAATCTAATATATATTTGATTCGTTTGACTTGGTATTTCAGTAGGTATGTCTGTGCCACAGAATTTGCCGATTAAAGGCGCAGAGTCATATCCACCATTCCTAAAATATGAGAAACATAAAATGATGATTTAAAAAAAATAATAAGATTAAATTTATTTAAGGATCTTTATACCTAATTTCTAAATAATCAAATAAGCAAGATGCATGTCTTTCTAATTCAAAATGATTGATTGTAAGAATGATTCTATGTCGATTTTGTGCTTCAATAATCCAAACGCAATCCCTCTTATTTGGATAATGATCGGGATAATTTGGTGATCTAATAATGCCATTTGACTTTGAATAATGACCACCGCAGACCTTCGACATATCCATGAAAATATATGTAGCAACAAATCCTTCAAGTGTAATACTTAAATCAGTGTGGAAAAGTATGGTAAGTATACGATCCTGTGTTGTTAATTCTGGTGGTTTAGTGCTACCACAGTATCTAAAACATATTTATAATATATTAAAAAAGCTGTTTAAAAAAAAGTTATGTTAAGTTATACGTGTGAAGATAATATTCTACTACGCATTATAACGTGTTTATATATATATATATATATATATATACAGGGAATGGAAAGTTACTTTTTAAAAATAACTAGTTACAGTTACTCGTTACCGAGTAAAAAATGTAACTAGTTACAGTTACAGTTATCGCTTTTTAAAAGTAACTCGTTACAGTTACCGTTACTTGAAAAATAACTTTTCGTTACTTTTCCGTTACTTTTTTAAAATCAATTTAAAAATGTACTTTTGCTTTTTTTTTTTATATGTAATACTGACAAATATATAGTTTTTTTTAAAAAAAAAAAAAACAATGTAGAATGGCTCAAATAATAAATTAAATAAAAGTAAAATGAGAAGGGTTACGAGCCAAAAATGAAACAGTTTATTTCCGATAAGAACGACGATGACAATGTAATTAAATGTATAAATATATATTAGAACAATACATAGATAAAACAAGATAAAAACAAACGACGTTTCGACACTTATTGTCATCGTCTTTTAAACTGTTTCGCTTTTGGGTTCATAGCCCTACTCATTTTACTATTATTTAATTTATTTTTTAATTTTTTTTAAACACAATTTTGTAATTCTAAAACCTGTAAAATATGCAGCAAATTGAAATATTTGTATGTCCTATGTATTACATAGAAGATAGAAGTGTAAAATAATTACTGAATCATAACGGCCGAATGTCTAAGGGCTTTCAAGTCTTATTGATAAGCGCTATAAATAGCATGTATCCAATCGAACCGTATTCAATCGTGTGCAAAGTAACGACAAAAGTAACTGTAAATTTCGTTACCGTTACCCAAAAAATGTAACTCGTTACCGTTACAGTTACCAAAAAAAGAAAGTAACGCAGTTACCAGTAAAGTTACCAAAAAAGTAACTTGTAACTGTAACTTCGTTACAAGTAACGAGTTACTTCCATTCCCTGATATATATATATATAATTAATAGATATTAATATTACATAGTATAAATTAAGAGTTTTTTGGTAATTGAAATGATTGCAACACTAATAATAACATTTTTATAACAAATAGTTAAAATAAAAGAAATTAGTAATATAATCATACGTGGCTATTATATTTTCGTCACGCGAGGTGTAGTTTTCGTAAAGCTTGACATAATCATTGACACAATCATTATGATATTCTAAATTAAATGACATCCAGTTGAGTTGTATTACGTATCCTGGTGGTGCTTGAATAGTCCAGATACACTCCTCGTTATCGAAATAACTTCCGTTTTCATGTGGGGACTGAATGACACCATTTGGCTCTTTCAGCAATCCGCCACATCCTTAATACGAATAATGGTATTAATGCTTACTTTATTATTTTTAAATCTCTATTTTTGCGCAAAAATTTAATCGCTCTATACATATAAGAATGAATTAATTATGTTCAAAAGTATATTAAACCTTATATTTATAATTTACCGCAGCGAAGAAATCTTACTTACTACGATTAATGGTTGTGTAGTTTACTTTGAAACCTCGACCATTAATGTTGCTGTCGGTGGTAAACTTTATGTACATGAAATTGTGCGTGGAATAGTAAGGAGTATCGGGCATGTTTTCCTCATCGCCGCATAATGTGGCGAGTTTCGTTGCGTTTTCATTATCACCATCAAAAATTTCAACGTAATCATAAAAACAGTTCTGATCTCTGCCTTCGATGTCCATATCTTCTATAGTTAACACGATTCCTTTGTCAGACGGTTGTATAATTTCGTAAATACATGTTCTTGAGTGATGATAAGGGTTCGGATAAAACGGCGATTTGATAATTCCGGTGTCTGCATGGAATTCGCCGCCGCATAAAGTTTCGTACGAAAGTGTGAAACCTTCCCCTTCGTAAGACCAATCGGATTTGAACACTATAACTAAACTGTTTGAATTTGACTTGATTGCTGGCGGCAAGTCCGCGCCGCAGTATCTACCGAGTAACTGAGAAAGTGTGTTAGGTCCATCGTAAACCTAAAAAAGTACAAAGATTAAAATTTCCTTTCTTTCTGTGAAACATTAGAATAATAAAAGGTTGGAAAATCACCTCGACAAAGTCAAACTGACAACTGGTGGAAGTTTCGAGATCAAATCTCAGCCATGATGCTCGGATTCGTTCACCTGCTGGCAACTGTATCTTCCATTCACATTCCATATTTGGCTGATATGACGATGAGTGACCTGGTGAATTGATTAGTCCAGTGGCACTGGTATAAATTCCACCACAACCAGGAGTACCTAAATATTGCAAATTATTTGAATCATATATTTAATATAATATAAATTTCGAATATGTAGCTCTAATTTGCTAAGCAATAATAAAAGAAAAATAGAAAGATAGATCAATAAAGGGCATATAATTATACAAAGAAATAGTATATAATTCATCATATCTCATTTGGACTTGAAGAATGCCACACCTCGTAATAATTTAATCTAATATGTAATTATATGCTCTTTATTGACCTATCTTCCTTTTATTATAGTTTAATATAACAATTTATATAAAATATTATAAAACTTCTAAACCAATTGTTTTAAATAAATAGTGTAATTAGTTGCTATATTATACTTATAAATCGTATAAACCAAGTGTTTCAGTAATATACCTTCAATTATCGAATAATGAATTTGAAATCCAGCATCTTGATTAGAACCGTCAGAATGGAAATGAACAATTGCTTCAGAACTCGGTGTAATCAAAGGCGGTGGACGAGTGTGATTGCAAAAAAGTCCTAAACGTTCTTCTTCTGCACCAGTAATCTATGTATATAATGTAGATATAGAATCAAAATTGATAATAAATACTGAAGCATAGATAATTAATTATTTTATAATTCAACAGATTTAGTAATATATACAAAATATATTGCATATATAAAATATTTATATAGGTCATAATTAACTCATAAAATATTTACTTCCACAAAGTCGTTGTCACAATTTTGCTCGAGCATCAGCTGACCAAAATGAAATTGAATTCTTTTTGAAGCAGCGACAATAATTGTCCAGAAACAATCTCTGTTTGGAGGGTATCTCCCAGGTGAACCTGGAGACGTAATTGTGCCGTAATTATTTTCTAAAACACCTCCACAAATAGGCTCGATGCTCTTCCAACGGAAAGTAAATCCGTCGTGAGATATACTGTTGTCCGAATGGAACCATAAATAAAGGGTATTGTGGGACGAGATGATTGTCCCGTTTTCATTAGGCAATGTCTGACCACAAAATCTATTGATCATATGACTACCAGCATTTCTACCATCGTGAATCTAAAAGTGTATACGTTTGTTATAAAGAGAATGATTTTCTTATTTTTATTATTCTCCTTATTTTCATCCTTATATTTTAAAATTCAAGAATATAGAAATTTGAACAGTATTAGAGATAGTATTAGAAAATATATTACAACGCTCCTTAATATGAATTTAAAAAATGCATAAATTTTTTAGACAAGAAGCTATGAAAATTAAAGTGTTGTATTATATACGCAAAATAATTTTAAAAGAATTTACAAAACTTATAGTTCTTACAAACTTTAGTGAAAAAATAAAATCCAAATGTTGTACTATATATAAAAATAGTTTTAAAAAAATTTACAAAATTTATAGTTCTTACAAACTTTAGTGAAAAAATAATTTTTTAATCGCTTTTTTTTAATATGCAAATCGCACCTGTAGAAAGTCAAATTTGCAATCTGTTGACTGCTCAAGATTAAAAGACGTAAAGGTGACGTTTAGAACCTTCGAGGGTTCCGTTATTAACACCCAAGCACAACTCAGTCCATGCTGGTAAGTGCTACCGCCTATGGGAAACTGAAGTGTTCCCATGGGATTCCGTAATACACCGCCACACGCTTGCCGTGGCGTTTCACATCTGATTCCTGTAAAGCTAGTTGTACACTGACACGTTGCTTGCCCATTTAAAACGGTACAAATTCCACTATTTCGACAAGGATTTGGTAAACACGGATCGATCGGTGTATTACATGTAGATCCTAAAAATTCATAAGAAACCCAGTGATATAGATAAGTATCGCATACACTGAAAGAAAAGCGTTTAGGATTTGGTGCTCCATTTTTACAATTATTACTATCATAATGTTAATAATACTAATTGCATTTGTATTTGTACCAAAAAGTATTGGTACCAAAAAGTAATTAGCACCGAAAATAAATATAAATTATAATCATGGTAGTTGCAGCATTTTTTCTTTCGATACGTGTAACTCTTATTGTTTTCAATATTAAGAATAAATTACAAATTCCGAAACAAACACTTTTATATTTAAACTTCAGTTTTAACTTAAAATTCATAATATCACGATTGTTGTGCAATCAAGCACGAATTTATTATATATTTTATTATTTGTCACGCGCATATGTGAGAAGTATAGTGTTACAATTTACACGAGATGGCTCATGAATCCATTTCCCGCCAAGTCTCTCATTTTCATTCCTAATACACATACCAGAGTATCCTGAGTTACATCTGCAAGTGAAGCCATTTGCACCGTTTGGCACGCATGTACCATGAACGCAGGGGTTGCTAGAACACGCTGTATTAAGTGATACATCAGCTAATTGGCAACCGTTTGGTCCCATTCCATTACCGACGTAATCCGGTGGGCAACGGCACAGCACATAAGAACTTGTAAGCGATGGATTCTCGATACAGGTAGCTAATGGATGACATCCACCATTGTTGATGGCGCAACCACCGACAAAAATGCAACTCACACCGTCGCCACGATATCCTGGAGGACAGGCTCCACATGTTCTAGAACCCTGTAATTAAAATCGTTGCAACGAAATAAGACACCGTTGCAGCAAATTGTAACGCGTTGCTCTATTCATTATATCACTTATTTATCTTCATATATTTATTTTTAACTAAAAATGTATTTTTTATGATGTAAAAATACTTGTATTAGATTGAGACTGAGATTAAAACTAATTAATCTCAAGAAAGAAAATGAACATTAAGTTTAATGAACTTTGCTTCGATCGGTCAAATTCAATCTCAATCTCAATCTCTAATCTGATACGAACATAACTTCTCTTCATGTTATGCATTATGTAATATAATATATTACCATTGTATTTATGCATTGCACGTAAGGTAAGGTACTGCAGCCGCCATTGTTAATAAGACACTCGTCAATGTCGGTGCAATAATAGCCATTGCCGCTATAGCCATGCGGACAAGCACCGCAAGTGAATGAACCGCGAGTATTACGACATGGTACCGGTGGATTTACGGAGCAAGGTGGATGGGCCGCTGCACATTCGTCTACATCCTTGATGCAAGCTGGGTTTGTACCGTCGCTTTCCCATCCCTAAAAACGATAAAGAAAAGGATTCAGCGCATTTGCTATGAATAAGTTACAAAAGCAGGTTGTGCGTAAGACTTACTTAGCTGAATAATTTACGATTAGAGTTTAAGAAAAAAAAAATAGAACATACTTGATCACAAATGCATGTATATCCAAGTGAAGAACTGCTTTTGGCAACGCATACACCGTGCTCGCCGCAAAGCGCTTCAGAATTTTCTGTATTACAAATCGATGTCTTCTGTGTACAATGAAGGCCAAACCATCCCGGCAAGCAGTCGCATCTAATATCCAAACCAATATTATACATATACAGACATATTCCACACAATGTAGGTATCCGAGAAATCTCAACATAAAGGCCACTTGCGAAGTTCATTAGAATTATTTCAAAGAATAGATGTTTGTAAGAACTTTAGACTGGAAAATTTAAAATATTATTAAAATTATATTTTAAAAACATACCTTTTTAAATTAAAAAAAGAAAACTAAAAATTTGATCGATTCGTAAAATGTCAGTAATTAAACGAAAGTATTACGTTTTGCTATTTCCTTAATAGAAAAGGTAATGAAACGTAATATTGCATATACCGATAAGACCCAGGTAAATTTCGACAAGTTGCTCCGTTTTGACATCCGAGATCCGTACCAAGAAATCTTGCGCACTCGTTGACGTCCGTCATACAATTTGGGCCCTGAAATAATTGTAATTATTCTCAGAAAATATTATTTTTGTCAAAGTACTACGCTTACATACCTCCCAGTTTGATGGACAATGACATTGATAGGCATCATAGAGATCTTCACAAGTACCACCATTTTGACATGGGTTACTTTGACATTCGTTCTCTCGAAGTAGTGTTTGCATAGCTCTTAGTGAGTCTTCTAATGCTTTAAGCTTAAAAATTTTACTTATTTTTAATTGTATTGTACAGGTCATTATTCGTATATATCATTCACTATAAATAGATTCACGTATTACGTACTCGAGAGTTGATACGACGAATGCTTCTGCTTGTGGCTACAGTCAATGGATTAAAATTCTAAAAAAATATTATTTAATAAACAACTTGATACATTTAATTCTATATTTAATTTATATTTTTTATTTTAATACAACACGATTAATATAATTTTTTATCTGTATTTAAAACGCTAAATTAAAAAAATTATAAAGAAATAAGAAATGAATAATAACTTAACATTATAAAACTTATGAAGGGGGAACACCACGGTGACGAGTTTAAAAAATCGAATTTCTTTTATTGCATTTTTGTAATGCTTGGAGTCTTAAAAATATGTCCCTATAATATTATGTTGAAATTCCTAACGGAACAATAGTAAATATGTGATAGAGTAGAACGTGGTCAGATGCCGCTAGGACATTAAGCAGTTCCCTTGATCTGCTTGTAGGCAGTTTTACCAGTATTCTTTTGTTTCTTATGTGCTTCAGACGTGAACACTTCACATGCACCCGGATTTTGATTCGTTAAGAAATTATATCGTTATATACAGGGAATGGAAAGTTACTTTTTAAAAGTAACTAGTTACAGTTACTCGTTACCGAGTAAAAAATGTAACGAGTTACCGTTACAGTTATCGTTTTTTAAAAGTAACTCGTTACAGTTACCGTTACACGAAAAATAACTTTTCGTTACTTTTCCGTTACTTTTTTAGAATCAATCTAAAAATGTACTTTTGCATTTTTTTTTGGTAAATGTGTCGATGAGGGGACCCCCCTCCAATGACTTTGACCTTAACATATGTTATCAAAGTCATGATTCTGAGTAACTTTGCCTTAACAACTAGCCGTCGCTCGCCCTTCGTTAAAAAGTTATTAACAATTATAGTTTTAAAATAGTACGAGTAAATGTCTCAATCAGGGGACCTCCCTCCAATGACTTTGACCTTGACATATGTTGTCAAAGTCATGACCCTGAGTAACCCTCAACAGGTTTTAGCTGTCACTCGTCCTTCGTTAAA